GAACCGACAAAAAAATCAGAAAGACGAAAAACCGCGTGAATATTGTAAAATGACGTCTCTATGAAAGATACCGTCAAACGAAGAAGGGTGTCGACTGTGGATCTTTACGTAATTGTAATTCAATGCCATGAACTTTCGGGCATGAAATCCGATTGGATTTTTATTTGGTTTTTTTATCGTTGGTTTTTTTTTTCTTTTATTATTGTTATTATTATTATTTTTCCAAACACAACCCATGTGTCTGGTTTTACAAAGTAGCTGTAGTCTGCCTTTTTTTTACTGCTTGATATTTTTGTGGTACAGTCATTTGAGGTGAAGTCTAGAGGATTGGCCGAAAAGTTAGCTTTCAGAGACTTCTCGCCCCAAAGCCACCGTGTATTATTGTCATGGTTATGGAGACACCTGTACCTTTTTCTCTGAAGGCATACGGTCCATTGCAATTCTTAGTTTTGTGGCCCTTTGCTATATTATTTTTTTGAAATTTTTTTTACGAGGTAGATGATTAAGAAATTAGTAGAGTTAGTTTGTTAGCAGTTGAAATTTTTTCAGGATAGTGAACGTTCCACCCCTCGTTTGAGGCGCGCAACCATTAGGTTGCAAGTTGGTGGAGTTCACGACGGTGACAGAGCTCGAAACCCTGATCTCCGCCTCACCCAAACCCTAAGGCTTGGGGCCAACCATTGGGCCTTAGACCCGGTTGGTTTTTGAAATTTTTTTTGTTTAAGTTTTAAATATATTTTAAAATTCATATTAAAAAACAAAACTTAAAAAAAATGAAAATTAATATACCATATTAAATGTTTCTCAAAAAGTTTAGGAGGGCTGCTGGGCTCCGTCGCTGAGCATATTGGATGTGACGTTCACACACTATAGCGTGGCAATAACATTACCTACATGAAAATCGCAATTGTGGAAAAAATAGGTTAAATGAAATCATTAATATACTAAAAGAAAAAACTGCATACATTTCTTTTTTAGAAAACGTAATTACGTACTTAAGAAGAATTAGGAGTGGTATGGAGGGCGTTATACCAATGGAAAATGTCCGTGTTCCTAACACTCTTTGTATATTAATTTAGTTGGTTATTTTATATATTAAATTATATTAAATTATAAAATATAAAATAATTTATTAAAGAAAAATAATTTCTAACAATAAGAATTTGTATAGAAAATAAAAAAATTTATTTTTATTTTTAATACTAATAATACATGCATAATAGATGTGTATAAGAAACAGGTTGTAAATTTTCTCCCTGTATTTGTGCAGAACTTGATATAGAAATGTTTGATAATTAGCGTACAAGGAATAAGCTAAATGCCATGGGATATTG